CCGTAAGAATGCCGCCACCTGCATTCGAGAGATAGCCAAGCACACACCAGAGCTCTCGAAGTTGATTGTAAACGCTGGTGGTGCATCTGCACTCGTTGACTACGTGGCGGAGGCGTCAGGCAACAACAAACTACCTGGAATCATGGCAATCGGGTACATTTCGGCCTTTTCAGAAACGTTGGCACTCGCAGTGATCACGTCCAAGGGTATTACACCAGTGAAGAGTGCACTGATCTCCGAACCTGAAGACCATATTAAAGCTGCGAGTGCCTGGACATTGGGCCAAATTGGTCGCCACACACCTGATCACTCGCGTGCAGTAGCCGAAGCGGACGTGCTTCGCCACCTACTAGCCTGCATGATCCACCCGAACAGCTCTGATGACCTCAAGATCAAGTCCAAGCGTGCATTGAAAAGCATCTTGGCCAAATGTACGCATTTGCAAGCTCTGCAGCCGTTGCTTCGCGACGCACCTGTGAAAGTACAAAAGTACATTCTCAAGCAATTCGCTCAAATGTTGCCGCATGATCTTGACGCTCGACGATCGTTTGTGCAGAATGGAGGCTTGGAATTGCTGCAACAGCTCAGTGAAGTTGCAGGTGGAAAGCTCACCGAGTACATTCTCGAAATCAACAACTGTTACCCACCGGAGATCGTGGAGTACTATTCACCACACTACTCCAAGACACTTCTTGACAAGCTCGACGACTATCAGCCTCAGGTGCGGTAAGCTAGTGAGAATCAACGAAGCGTAGGTATATCAACCCTTTTAAGTGCTTTCGGAGCTATGCTTTATTTCAGCGGATAACAAGCTATCATTCAATTCTACTTACACTTTTGCGAGGAAAAAATGTTGAGCTGTCGATGCAAATTGTGCTGATAATCAACAGGATACAGGATACAGCTCAGCCGCTTCAATGATGGAAATTGGACTCACCAAGCTGCACATGGAAAACCAGCAACGCTCACACGTTATCAGTCAACAGTAGTGACTCACAAACATGAAGCCCCTGCAACGAGCAGGATCGTGAATCTGCGCTGAACAAAGCAGTTTCCTGTAACCTGCGATTATGCCATTCTGAACTTCGGATACATCACTATGAATTACGAAAGCAAAGTCCCACATACATGTTATTGACATGGTGTAATGCTCGCGCCTGTGATTTTTGAGTAGTGGACATTCGGTCACTTTGTTTTTTGCAGTGTACATCAAGGAGGCACGATTTCGTTCAACTTAACTTGACCAAATAGATGACTTCGAATCAGTACGAACACAACGAGGTGTGCACACCCTCCATTGAGCGCGACCAATACCGCGAGGCAACGCTGCACTTCAACATCGCAGCTCCACAACCTGAGAGCAACAAGGACGATGAAGACATTGCGCTGGACAAGAATGGCCGTCCGATGGTCAAGTGCTTTCGGTGGCGCATGAGCCGCAGGAAGCGACTGTGTATCATCTTCGGACTGATCTTGCTATTCATTGGTGTTGCACTTCTTCTTGTTTTCCTGGTTATTATCCCTGCCATCATCCGGCACTACATGGATAAAGTGGTGCTAACCATAAATTACATGGACGTCACGGACATTCCGAACGATTCTGAAATAGACGTGACCTTCAGTGTAAACCTGCAGCACGATGTGCCAGTCTCGGCCAGAACTGACGAGGTGACGGCATCGTTGATCTACGACGGCGTGGTGTTTGGTACAGCGGCTGTTGAAGGGCAGCATATCAAGTCGGGTAACCAGAACTACAACTTGACTATGAACACGACAATGGTGATCTCCGACATGGACGCGTTTAACGCGATGGCTGAGGCAATGATGCAGAACGAGACGGTCCCTATCACAATCTCGGCAGACATCGACGCCCACGCCATGGGTTTGTCGTTCAATAACCTCGACTTCGAGCGCACACTGACTCTGATTGGTTTCAATAATTTCGCGGAGATAGACTTGGAAGTGCAGCATATCGACTTGTGGGGGTGCCGCGATGGCATTTACGAGATGGACGTCAACGCGTCGGTTTATAACCCGTCGACTATGGGACTGCAGGGTATCGGTCCACTCAACATGAGTGTGTACTACAATAGCAGCTACCTGGGCTACGCTTACTCAGAGAAGCCGGATCTGGGCATGCCGCGT